AAAATGTCACTCATATTATTTTTTGCATCACTTTTCAGTGTTACTATAACTAAACACTAAAGAATATTAAAATCTAATTGGTATTCAACTGTTCTCAAATATATATATGATCTATTTGAATTACATAATGTTATAAATCTGTTTAACATTTGACGAATTCAATGTTTTTCTCCTTCTTGTTGCCCTTTGCCTCTCAGCCTGGCTTCCTGCCCCTGCTTTATTTGGCAAGGCCATAGACACGTCATGTATCTGGTGGAAACAAGTGTGCAAAAAGAATTCTAGCTGTGGTTACTATGACAACGACATGTTGAGGAACCGGTAAGAAAACAGATTAACTGTCACACTGTGTGTGTTTAGAAAAGACAAAATGAAATGTGCGTGCAAGGTAGAAATCTACTGAAGTACAGAATACTGATGGAATCGTTATCACCCTGTTAAATATAAAGGAATTTAGCTCTGCCAGTTCACCATGGCATTATAGGAGAGCTTTGCAATTATAAACTTTAAACACTGTCGATCAAATAAAAATGAGCTACAGCTGTGACTGAAACCTCTACATTATCATTCCTTCTGGGGCACGTCGTAAAAACCGTGACTCTTTTGATTCCTGTGGAAGTTGAAATGATCTACAAATATTATTTAAAAAGTTTTCATGGACACCATTGCCACAGCTATATGTACAATATATACAATATTTAAAGTCGGGATCCCCAACCCCTGGTTCGGGGACTGGTGCTGGTCCGTAGGTCATTTGGTACGGGGCCACAGTGAAAAAATGTACTTCAGTTTTACTAATTGACTTCATCCAAAAAGAATCCAGTCATATCCCTTTACTTTCTTCATTAAACGATAATCTGTCAATGTTTCAAAACAACAGGTCATTCAGACTCTGATGCTAACAGAATAAAATCTTTGAATATTTAATGATGATACGGTATTACTGTTTGACTTACATTGACTGAATATTCAAATCAAATCATAGAATATTAAAGTTGACCAGAAGTTTTTTTTTTACCTCAACCCATTTATATATTATGTGACTATATATGACGAGGAACCCCATTGCCCACGGTAACAACATTTATCCGTTTGACTCCTGCAGGTACTTAGGGATGCAGGTGGGCTATAAGGTCATGGGCATCTTTCTGCTAATGATGCTTGGATGGAAGGTGCAGCGGACCCAGGAGTACAGTCTGGAGAAAAGGCCTGAGGGACTACTGTGAAGGTGCTGAGAGTCTGTGCTGTTGAAAGCCACCCACCCCCCTAAAGTTCTGTTGTGGTGTCAATATTTTTTTGGGACCACGGTGTGTTATCAGTCTGAGGAAGCCCAGACAGGCCTACACTGACATGATTGTCTGCAGGCACATTTCTCCATAAGAAGCTGTGATGTCTCTCTGAAATGGTACCTCACAACACTCTACATGTATTTGAAACTTAGGCAATGCATTAACCAATGACAAAACAACACATTTTTTCCCTTTTGTGTCGCTGTTCCAAGGAGGTGGGAGACGTTCCTGGTCTCCATCTGCTACAATGGACTTACTCTGTAACTAAATATCTGTACAGCTTAATATTTAAGTTTATTTTTATAGATTTTTGTCTCCAACACGGAGACTGCTATGATAACTTCATAATTTTTTTTCAGTAATATCATATATATGTATATCAATTTTTAAATTCACTGCTAATGGAATTACTATTATCTAGCATTCAGACTGTTACTCTGAATTTTATTTAACCATACATATGCTTTTGACGGTGTAGTTGATATGTTTGCTAATAAAGCTAATAAATTAATACAACCAGTTAATTTGGTCGGTCTGTTGTTATTAAGTTTTATTCTACAGTCGCAATCCTTAGACATTAGTGCAAACAGTATGTTTTCTGTTTTTGAAAATGAAATTATAGCCACTAAGGAGTCAGCTAATTGGTGAATATACTTTATATTATATGGCTTAAACTCAGTGTTAGACAAAGAAAAACACCAAGAACTGGAGGAAATACAGTGAATTTGGTATAAAAAAAAACCAACCTCTAACCAAATCAGCCTCTAGGGGGCTTGCTCTAGCATAGTGGTTCCAAAGGTTTTTTGCCATGCTTTCTCTTTTCCAATCCAATTGATGCAACCACGATTCTCCACATTTTCGTAGAAAGAAAAAGCCTGGTATCCATCTGCTACGACGAAAATACTCTGTAACTAAATATCTGTACAGCAAGTTGTCCTGCCGTGCTTCGTACAAGAATCCAATGCACTCAAGGACCGCAATTCCAACTAACTCTAAATTTACGGCTTCGTAATGACACTCAATGCCAATTGATACTAATCCTTGAAGTCCGTGTGTTCAGACTGAATCATTATCTGAAGCTGTGGTTGTCAAAAGGACTGTTTTACATCCCAATACTTCACTTCAGCTTAAACGGTCCTGCCTCGGCCTCAAGCACCCTGTTTGATTACAGATCCAGATTCTCCTTGAACTCTCCAAGGACTCTTTCTTTTTTTAATGACCTTATTTATTAAAGAGATCTTCAGTAAGGCTCGGGCCACTTCTCCTCAAGAAGGGGTTGACTCTACATACTCATTGTACCATAGGTACAGACCACAAAGGCTCATTAGTAGCTACCAGGATCCTACAACCTTCATCATTCAACCTTGTTTATCCCTGGCTGGAGCAGGAACCTTTTTGGGGGGGGACAAGATGTGGCACGTTGGTAGGATCTGGAACTTACCTTGCATTTATTAAAATGAAAGATTTAAGTCAATAATGTGACATCCAAGTATATCAACACTAGGCTGACGGTGATTCATTTCTGAACATTACAGTATGTGAAATTCTACAGACATTAGCATGGTCACAGGACATAGTTGGATGGTGCTGTGAGTACAAATTCAAAATGTGATGCTACAGTTAAAACAACAGGCGTCGATAAATCTTCCCAATATGTTATTTATACACAATTTTAAAACTACAGTACTTTTATGTTGGCTCAAGTTGGGTTCAATAAAGAGATGCAGCGATATCAATCCCAGTATTGATATTGGGCTTCATACCTCAGAATACTAGTACTAGAGCTCGAAAAAATACCCAAGACTTGATTCTCAGTAACAGCTTTTGACCACAACCAGCTGCACAGCTTCCAGCCAGTTTTACTGTACTGCAGTTCAGCGTCTCATGGGTAGTTCATTTAAGTAGGTAAACAATGTCAGCAGTTTGGAGGTATTTTCGCATTATGGATGAAATTAGGAGCAAGGCTGACTGTAGGGTTTGTTTGGTTGCAATACAAGCAGTTTACAGCTGAAGACGCACCCCAGCATTCCATATGCTAATGTCTGTTCTCTGTTCAACGGCACAGTGGATTAATGAGGCGTTTACACTTCACAGTCACATTTGATGAGGGATATTAAACCAGTATTGTGTTTGTTAATTTGCTTATTAAAACAGAAGTAATGCCACTTAGTTCAAGTGACAATTCATTTGCTGGAAAGCATGAGATGAGGTTTTTATTATTGTTTAATAAGGAATTACTTATTTTCTTTAATTTGAAAAAGCCTACTATGAATGAGAAGGAAGGGAACATTTTGTGCGTCACCTACATAACGCTGCCTTTCCGTCAATATTATACAGTATTTATTGAAAACCAAGCTAAAGAAGTGTCTGTGGCAGTTTTCGGTGTCAGCAAAAACACAAATTAAAAAATTTAATTGGAACAACCTAAGCTAATGTCCTCTGAGGGTTTTCATTACAGACAAGAAATGCATACAGATGTGTCTAAGCCATCTTTGTAGTAACTGAAAGAGTTTAATTAGGTGCCAAAAATACCTAACGTTCTAAGCCAAAGAAATTAAAAACAAACAAAACAGCAAGGTGCCAAATTAATACGGGACCATTTAACGTACTTTCTATAGAACATTAAAAGTAAGTTTTTTGAATTTGAATGATTCTATTATACTTGATAACGTTACTTAACAGGCGAATCCTGCATTTATCACCTTTAAGTGCAAATATATTGAAGAATAATCAGCATAAATTATTAAAGAGGACGTGAATAGTCTTTATGATAAAAATGAGAGTAAGGTTAGTAAAAAAACATTTTAAAAAAGTATCTTTTAAGTCTTTGAACGCGTGTGACGTCATTTTATGTCAGCTCTGTCCGTTCCGTCGAGATGCGCATGCGCAAATCATACCAAGCGTAAAGCACCGGCGCAGCAGGAACAGCAGTGTGCTCACATCTCGGAGTAAGAGAGAGTGTTAGAGAGGAAGAGGGCTTTAAGTGGAGCAGCCGTCACCGCCTTTTCCATCTATCCAGCAGTGACAGCAGTAGGGTCCTCAACCGACCAACACCGAACTAAAGAGGGAACAACACGAACAAGTGTCTGCTCGGACCAGGCTCTCCTCCGGTGACCAGAGTCGCTCTCCTTCTCTCTCCACCTCTCCTTTCTCTATTTCAACAAAATGTCCGTGAGCGCTGACTTTGGGAACCCTTTAAGAAAATTTAAACTGGTCTTCCTAGGAGAGCAAAGCGGTAAGGACTCGCATTTGTAATTATATTATAGCATCCAAAAGAACAAGTTCGTGTTTCATGGGAGTCGCAAGTCAAGTTGAACCCGTTGCACCTGCTACAAACTGCCCAGTCAGCAAGTTAATTTGACTCGAGAGACGTTGTAGGTGGCTGCTGTAGTGTTGCTTCCTGTGTTGTTATTTTATGTTAAGAAATAACTACTGTGTAATTTTAATGCGTAGCATGTTTAATTTGACGGCGAGAAAGCGGAGAAAGGGACGTTATTATTATTATAATTATTACTATTAATAAAATATTCTTTTTTGTTATTGCAACCTTCTTAGAAGTTTAACTCTGAAATCACAAATACTCCCTAATACCGTACCTCCACCGACTCTTTACTTTTGTTAAACACTGTAGAACATCACTGGTTAGCTTTTAAAGAAAGGAGCAGTGACAACGTCTGGTGAATGAGGCAGAATGCGTGCGTGAGGATGGATCAAGCACTGATTCTGGATGATGACGACGACGACGACGATGATGATGATGATGATGATGATGAGAGGCTAGTAAATATTTCTGTGTTGACTCCAGACACACCCAGGTTGTCAGTGGCAATGACAGCTAACTTGTTCGGTAGTGTGGCTCTGCCCTGCTATTGTTGCAATCTGCCTGCCTCGCGTCAGGATCATTGCATTGCCTCAGGCCTGCAGCGTATTTGAACAATATTCAGTATCTGATACTCATTCTTAGAACTCGGATGTCGGTGTTATTTGTGATAAGTAATTTAATACCAGAGTATACAGTGGTGGCAAATAGACTCAGACAGTGAGAAGCCCTTTGGGAACAAAATGAAATGCGCTATTGAGTTTCCTAATCTTTAATGCTTACCTGAAAACTTTAAAATGACATACTGTCTTTTGCAAAAAACACCTCCAGTAACTTAATTGATTATGTGTTCATTAAAACCAATCAAACATTTTTGATGAATAGGTTGTTTATCCGCAAATATATTCAATAAACGTTGCTCAAATAAAATAATAAATAATATGAAGGGTGGGAGTGAAACATGTCATTCCAAAAGAGAGAACGCAGAGATTATGTTTCACAGGAATGCAAGGCATCCTCTGAATGCTGTAATAATGTGTTGGGCCATGCATGGGTGTGCTGCTGCAGTAAAATAAAAAAAAGGATTGATTTAGATTTGGAAATTAGCAATTCCTCTGTACTATTGGTTCATCAAGACTTCTGGCTGTGATGCATTGTCCGTACAGTCTTTGCCTCTGCCCCCTGTGCTGCTGCAACTCAACCATTTCCCCAATGTGGGATCAATAAACTTAAACCTTAAAACCTTATTGTTCCCAGCATGGTGCTGAGCCACCACTGTTGTTACACAACCTCCCATTTTAAAAGATAAAATTCCTACAATTGCATTTGCAACATTAAAAGGTAGATTACACCTACCTTATCTGTAACTGGGCTAGTTGTCAAAGAACTGTAGTTGTCACTGGACTGGATTGTGGGGGTGAAACGCAGAAGAGAAAATTACCCCAGGGCAGGGGTGTCCACATTTTATTTTTGTCTTGTGAGCTACTTTTCAAATGACCAGGCTAAGGTGATCTACCTATATTGAAAACTGTAAATATATATTTACTCATATAATCTGATATAATCTTATTATATACATTTTATGTTATATACATTATACTGGCTGACTCAGTACTTGTATGCTCCTTACATTTGCCCTAGTGATAAGCATCTTAAAATAGAATTACATCTATAATTTTAATTATTATTATTTTTTTAAATGTACTTGCTCTTGCTTGACATAATCCAGTTTATCCAGTTTTATTTATTACCCAGCAAAGAATTATATCAAGTATGAGTGCTGTTTAGAAAATGCTGGCAAAATTTGCCAGCAAGTCATCATCAATATGCTTTAGATTTATGTTTTTTTGCTGGGATTGTTTTAAGCAGCTGCAGCAGGACACAACAAGAAAGCCAACTTCAGCAGAGATTGCCCCTGAGTTAAAGACATGAACCCTATGAGTTGTTAAACTCTGGGCTGTAAAAACCTCAGACATTTGAGGAAGTTAAAGATGGTTATTATTTAGGGTATAGTATTGGTAATGGTAGGCTTTTATTGGGTGTCCGCTGAAAATTTTAAACATTTGCAATAATGACATAGAGGTGGGCCGGTGCTACTTCATACCACATGTTCTTGAGTTCCGTTCCCACGGTGCGACATTACTCGATTTTCACTGTTAGCCGGAACTCACATTCTATACATAAGTACCTATGTCACTCACCTACACCAACACAGAGGCAACATAATAATTAAGGACATAAATAATATAATTTTAAAAAATATTGTCTGAGCGAGGTCATTTCCTGAAACCACTCATTTGTATTGTTTATATTCTGTGTAGGTTCTCGGTCGTCCAAATCATTTTAAAGAAGTTCAGACGTTGGCAACTGGATTGGCCTTGGAACATTTTCGAGAAACCGAGCCAGTCCAGTTGCCAACTTCTGGACCATTTTAGGATATTGTTTGTATTGTGTGTAACCTATTTTTCACGTTCAGTATTAATTAAACCACCAGGGCTCTTGCTCTCTCTCAGTTTGTTGCTTCACTGATAATAACAGATGGTTAGAGATAGCCACGTCTGTTTTATTCTTTCCTTAGCCACTACAGGCCTCCATAAGTTCTCTGACGTGCCTGATCCTAGGAGAGATGAGTCTAGAAGTTCTTGTTGTACTTAGCAGTCTTAAAAGTAGAAGTCGCTAATTACACCCAGGACCAAAAGTCCCATTTTGGGTAAAAATGACGATAAAGAAGTTTAACTTTTCAAATAATTCCATTTAAATTGATTGTATGTATATGTCGAACACGGGTTCAAACCAGCGATCCTCTGGAAGCAAATCTGAACCTCTTACTTGTCTTTCATGACAGATGTCATAACCTGACAGTACTCAATAGAACAATAGAACGTCTCAACTGATATTTAGTTTGTTTGTTACCTTAGTAGGGCAACAATCTTTAATTTTAATAACTTTTGCCCTGTTCAAATCTAGCTTGTGTACGCCCTAGTTGTTAAGGCGTACACAACCAAAATGAAACCACATTAATCATTATAAGAACCTTACCATTTATTATCGATCAGTCGTTACACTTGCTCATGCGTTACATTTGTATATATTTCACCTACAAATCGAAGCGATGCTGAATTATCGTGGCCAAGTTAATCAGTATGAAATGACTCAGGAAAAAACATTTAGACAAAGGTGATGATAATGACGATGATATTCTACACATTTTTCAAACATGATCTGTCAGTTTGTTGCCTGTAACCTTTGTTATGTAACACATTGATGCCTCTCCATTTCCCTAGTGCTCTAACCCTTGAACATAAATAATTAAGATCTATCTTATATATAGAAACCACAGAATGACTTTTGGTCTTGATGGAAGGCATTACTATTCACCATTTTTATAATATTACCTCTCTAGCCACAGGAGAATATTCTAGACAAACATAATATAATGGAGTGTAGTGTATTCAGCAGACCACAGCTGGCTTATCTTCTATTAATTTTACTCAAAATGTAATTATAAAGATAGTTCCTCATCCAGTAAAAGGTCGAGTTTTATGCTTTACAAAACGCATGTGAAATATTAGTGGCCTTTTATTTGATTTGATCAAATATACTTCAAACTTGTGTTGTAGTTGTTGGTATATACATTAGTGAACACAGCTTTATAGACAGAGGTTTTAATCTAATACTATTCAGATTTCCCACTGTCACTTAAAGGAATCTGCTCTGTTTAGTGGATTTGCTCTTTGATGTAGTTTTGTGGACAAAAAGATTCTCGTCAGCACAAAAAATGTTCGCTACTACATTTATGCTCATGTGAACACAAACTGTTGACTAATGAAATTGACTAATGGTGTGCTATTTTTGTACAGCTTCAACTCATGGATGTATTGTAGATAATTAGGCACGTCGCCCTGTGGTTATGCACCTGTCACTGGAAATATTTGAGTTAGATACTGCTCAAATAGGGCCACACGGTGGAAAATGTTGGTAGAACGTTCTACAGATGTAACTAGTCAACAAGAGTGTCAAACATCGTACTGTTCCTGTGCTTTTTGAATCAGTTACACTGGCAATGATATTCAAATGGGTGCAATGATGGTGGTAAGAAGAGTGTCCACTATTGCGTGTCCCAGAACTAATTTGTATAACATCAGGAAGTATCAAACAAGTAGCTCTTTGTATTAAGTGCCTTTGAAGTAGCTCTCAGTTTCAAAAAGGTTGTTGACCCCTACTCTAGATTGACCATAAGTATGAATGTCAAGGTGAATGGATATATGTCTCTGTATGTGACCCTGCGATGGAGTGTGAAACTGGCCAGGGTGTACCACGCTCTTACCTATAGATAGCTGGAATTGGCTCCAGCCCATCCACAGTGAATGGATGGATGGACCTCTGAAATAATCTTTCAACTTATTATAGTCAATGTGGTATAGATTCATAAGGCTAATAAAACTTAACCTTGTATGCATAATCTGGGAGTGTGAGGTATGAAAAAGTTAAGTTCTCAATTCTAATTCTGGGTGTCGATGGAAGGAATCTTATAACCTAAAGTATGTGCCTCAGTAACTTCCGCTCATTTTGTATAATCATTGAGATAAAGATGCGTATGTGGAAATACTTAGCTACTTAAATGTGTGGCAACAGGTCCAATTAAACAGAGTGACTCAGAGTTACTACAGGCAGATCGCAACAGGATTTTACACATTGCAACAGAAAACCAAAAACCACAATGTCCTCATAATTCAAAATTATTTTGTAATAGAAGTTGACTCAGCTGTGATGGTTAGAGAAGCAGCTGATGACATAGCTTTTCGCTATAATTTGGACGCTATCAGAAAAAGCCGTAAAGCAGGTACTTACTATTATGGCTGGTAACAATAGTTTAATAATTTTTAATAATAATTTTTTTCATTATGTTTCATTTGGTAAAATATTTGAACGTTGTATGGTAAATAAGATATACCATTTCCATTTGGGGGGAAAATAATTATTGAAAATATACACTGTTTTATGAGTTAGATATTAATTACTAATTTGCAGACCTACTAGGATGACCTTTTGTTTTTACGTTTTGTCACATGAACTATGTAACACCATGTTTTGAGAGACTTACTCAAATATCTAGTAAAAATGGTGTTGTCAGAAGAAAAAAACAGGTTGGTTATACATTAGTAAAAACATTAATAACGGTAGCTTTATACATACTGAAAAAACCTCAGCAAGAATACCAATACTTAACGTAGAGGTCCCTTATGTAGTTTTGGCAGAGAGGCAACATACAGAGAAGTGTGCCTTAGACACAAATGTGTTGTGTAAGCATGAGGCAGTTGTTCATCATTTCCCATGTAGTCACAGTGGATATTTTTAAACACCTGCACATTGTTGCCCTCCTAGACTTATGGGCAGAACTTCAGATTTTAAAATAAAAAGATGTACCTGTAATACACACCGAAAAAAACAGCATTACTGCTTGTCACACAGAAGCATGAAGAAGTAGGAAATGGTCAATCCGATTAGTCTTACTAATAACGTTGTCAGTACATGGTATTTTATGGTTTTATTTCAATTGGTGTTATGTATTTACTGTCCTAAAGAGGCAGAAGAAATGTGGCCCCAAACTGTGGTAGACACCCTACATCTGTTCCTGGTTCCAATAATGAGATTTGGTCTTATGTACTGTATTTGTAATCTAATTCATAAATTTGTTTTGTTGACCCCTTTCACTGCAAACCGAAAACACAAGACGTGTGTAGATCTGATAAGATGTGAAGTGGTACATAATACTGTATGTCTGGAAGGCAGAAGAAGAAGAAAAATGAAAGCGCTAGTCCTTTCTGTTTTCCTGAGAGGATTTTGTTTTCATTTTGTCAAACCTTCGGCTGCCCTTTGCCTTGTGTGAACGGAATCTAATTTAAATGTAAAAACATCAAGTTGGTCTCTCTCTTTTGAGCCCTGTGGCCTTCAAACAGCTGACATATGACTTCTATCTCTTCTCCTAAGGCAGCCACGTACACCACAGGTCATACTCTGCATTTCAAATCCAGTCTCACGCATCGGTGGTTGTGCTCTTGCATGTGTTGTGTAGGTACCCCACTGCTGGTTTTACTAATGTCAAATGCCTCATTAGACTGCATAAGGGCTTTGTTGGTTTTACAAGTGCCTTGCGTGTGTGGTGGGAACTCAGCCTTCGTTGAATTTGAAAGCACCTTCATCTATTATTCAGAGATATTGTAAATGTTTCCTGGTTGGAGGTCATTATGCAAATCTACAGGTGCTGTTAAATAGTCAGTAAAATCAATGTCAATGCAACTGCGTCAGTGATAAGTTTTAACCTGTTATTCAATCCTTGGCCTATGGCTTAATCTAAATGACGGAAAAAATGTGATACTTACTCTTAAATGTTGATATATTTTATCTTCTTATCTTCCCTGTGTGAAGGAATCAGTATGTGGCCACAGCAGATTAGACTCAACAGCCCAACAATGGTTTCCTGTGGTTTTCCTGGAACATATAGGGTGTATAATGGTTCCAATCAGAGGTCTAGGTCTCTTGGGTTCTTGTGTCTGGAGGAAAATGCATCCAGGTGTAATTCACATCTGACATTGCTAATATAAATTACACTAGGGGTCGAGAGCTTCTTCAAGGGCACTTATTGTGTAACTGGTTCAAAAAGCACAGTAACAGTACAATTTCTGACCCTCTTGTTGACTAGTTTTATTTTTAGAACATAACCTGCAGGTGCCTTAGGTAGTCCACCAGGGCACCACGTTGGTGACGCCTGATCTACACTTAGTTGCAATGGCTAAATCTCCAAATCATCCTGTTGCTTCTTGTATCCCTATAACTGTACTTTTAATCGTAACAGAAGTTGATGTGTGCATCAGCAGGTTCCTAAAATTAGGATTATAAACAGGTCATGGAACTAAAACCGCAATGCAAATTCTGTGTTTTTCATATTTTTCTAGTTTGGAGTTTATTTTTATATTTGTCATGACTGTGTGCTTTGTTAGCCAAGACTGAAGGGATGATTTAAAGGACCATCTGGTGTTGGACATTCTCCTAGTGTGCTGTGTTTGTCAGCTGCTGTGTCTCTGAATAAGTGCGCATTCAAGAGTCAACATGCCTCCCATAGGTCTGTATGTTCTCCATATCTCTGCTGTCCTTCCTTAAAAAGGGGGTGTATACACAACCTGATGTTTTTCTCGGTCCGATCTCTCTATTCAACTATATATTTATAGTTGAATATTTGTTTCCAAAAACTTCAGTATTAAACTAAATAATGCAGCATTTGTGTTTTGCCTAAAAATGTATTTTATTTTAGATAAATACAATTGGTATCGCCATGTCAAACGTTACAAAAATGAAATAGAATGAAGTAGGAAATGGCCAAGAGTTTGCAATTAGTGTAAGTCTAATCAGGATAGTAGGTACTTTTCATCTTGATTACAGCACTTTAGAGTTGAGTTTTACCCCAGGTCTCATTATACATTCAGGCAAATATGATTCAAACATCCCACGTGATTGTTGAAATGGTTCGATTAACTGTTATATTTATCCAAAGGACGTCACAGTCATTAAAGCAATTAAGTATAAAATTAATAGAGCCGCTTTGTTGGTGAGACTGACACAAGAGACAATGACGTGTACATTGGACTGCTTTGTTGGTGAGACAAGAGACAATGACGTGTACATTGGACGAGGATCAGAGATCAGAGATATGAACTAGGTTGACACATCGAGGTTCACGTTTATTGACGGTCTTGTTTGAGAACCTTGACAGGAAGCCAGTAATGCTGTGGCAGGACAGGATTGATGTGGTGAATGGAGGGTGTTTTTGATAAATGCATGCACCAGAATTCTGAAGTGTGAAGTTGATGGAAGGATTTGATAAGAAGACCAAGTAGAAGAGAATTACAGTAGTACCTTGAACCCTGGACCGTCTGTGTGTAAGGCAGCTTTGATAACAACTACTCAGTACTAAACCAGTTCTGTTTGCTTCTTGATGGATATTGATAACCAGCCATGTTTTGACATGTGTCTTATTTTGTGTGAAGGTTCAACTATTGTATATCAGTTGAAAATTTGTGCATTATCGATATATTGATCCTGGAACAGTCAACTTTTCATCAAAACAGGAAACAGTTTTGATCAATGTTTAAATTCCCTCTTTTATTTGATTATTCTTTAGATCTCATTTCCATTTTCATCATTTCAAAACAGGACAACTAAGTGCCGGCTTTCTCCCACTGAACTTTCTGTAATTGCATCCAAATCTGTTGTGCACTGCTGACCCATAGTCACTTACGACACGTTAATGAGCTGTGTGAGCCGTGACAGCCCCGGGGGAAACTATTAGAAACAATCTCCTGCTGGGTTTTATGATACTTCTCGATCTACATCCGAGAAGAATCTTGTCTCTTAAATTATTCTTTTTCTTTCTTGCAGTTGGTAAAACATCCCTGATCACTCGGTTCATGTATGACAGCTTTGACAACACGTATCAGGTAAGAGTTCCCTCGAGATGTAGGTGAAAGAAATGTTTTAAGAAATAGACCTTTGTGTGGGTGTTGACCAGTTTTTTAACATTGTTTAATGACATTGATTTTGTTCACATTAGGCAAGTCATTCAATGTAGGGATGTCCGATAATATCGGCAAACCAATATTATTGGTTTGCCGATATTAGCTTAATTATGTAATATCAGTAAGAATCGTGATCGGAAACCCTGATGGGTTTTTGCCCAGATGATGTGACCTAAAAATAGTTTTGAAGTGAGAGTGAAGCTATTATTTGTATTGTGCAGTACAGTATTGTCATGAAATTAAGGGTTTGGCCAATATTGGCAGATCGGATATTGACAAAAAGTTAATATCGGACATCCCTAATTTGATGTTTTACTAACCGTTTTGTTTGCCTACCACAGCAGGAGTAAAGGGTTTTGTCTATCTTCTCATTTGCAAAACACACCTTACGGTGATGGTTACATTGTTACCTGATGATTTGTTATGCATTTGGAGGCATAATCATGTAAATGAACACCACTAAGCTTGTATAAACAGGAATTGTTTTTTATAAAGTTGTAGCAGAGTTTGGTTCGTGATCTGGGTCATGACCTGAACCGCAATCAGTTCCTTTAATGTTGGGTGTGCAGTGTCTATACTTCTGAATGTAATGTCAATTAATTAAAAACATCATTCACTTTCCAATCATAGACTCAAGGCTCTTTGCAGCACGGGCGTGCCGTGTCACGATGACAATAATTCATTTTCACTTCAAAACTATTGTTAGCTCACATCGTCTGTGCGAAACCCTAATATTAATATTTATAAAGTCGGTCAGCATAAACTGACTTTATAAATGTTTCCATCTGAGTCGAGCTGAGCTTTCAGAATCGTTCCTTTACTCTCCTTTGACGTAAGGCTAGCATTTTAGAGATGGAGTTCAACAACGGGAAGGATGAAACAGAGCATGGTAGTGGATTTAGTCAGTCAGTAGGAGGAAATGAATTAGGTGAAGCTGATTGACTGCCTTCAACATATAAAGCAGCTACCCAGCCATCACAGGCAGACATCATGACTGCCAAACAGCGAGCTTAGCAAGCTAAAAGGGCTGAGATTCCTCCAGAGGCTCCAGACTGACGCGTCGCTCTGGTGGAGCTGTCAGTTAGGCACGATGACCACCAGGCTGTGACTGCCATCTGGGCTGAAAGATGTCGGTGTTTGGTGCAGCTCTCATTGTAAGTGTCAGAACTATGTGTACATCAAACTAATTTTGAAATCAGACTTATTGACCACTGGTGTCACAATATTCTATCATTCAATTACAAGCATATGTATTTCGAAATCAGACTTATTGACCATTGGTGTCACGATATTCTCAATTACAAGCATATGCCCTAATACAATACCATTATTTAATCTATTTCATTTAATATAGTTATTTATAATTACACCAACATAATAAATCCATAAGAATGACTTAACTTTGTTTCTTATCAAATTTTAACTTTTCAAATAGTTTCAACATCATTTAGTCAGATTTGGACAAATAGAAATTGATTAGAGATGAGGTGGAAAGTGTTCTTAGTGGATATTTTATTTATATTTGGGTTATAACCAAGTCATTCTTTGTTTTAAGCTCATTTAAATAATCAAAACGTGCCGATTCAGCGACCTAAAACCCCGTAATGGTTTTTCACTACAACCAGCTGTGCAGTGTTTGTTTTCCTGCTGTACATCAGTGTCTCACTGCCCACATGGGTAGTTTATTGAAGCAAGCATTTTGTAGAAATAAAACAAAATTTTACTTAAAAAAATGTGCAGCTTTAATTTAAAATATTTGCAAAAATATATATTTAAAACATTTTTGTTAATAAAATGAACTTCCTAAAACTGGCTTTTTTTGTAATTGTGCTCCTTTTTGTAAAACTCCGCGTGAGTGAAACATTTACAAAGAGGAGTGTGTCCGCTTTGTTCTTATAGTGTCATTTGTTAATAAATAGTAGTAATCGAAATTGCTGAATTCTACTTGAAAGCTTTTACTATTTATTCACCTTTTATTATAGAAATATAATTAAAAAAATACCTTTTATTTCACTCTTTTAGACTTTTGAGTAAAAAGCTTTTTATTTAATTTCACTTGTCTGTTTGCAGTTTGCAGCATGTGAGATTTTACTTTTTTATTGCACATTTTTACTGTATAACCTTTACATACGTTCAAGTCTTTAATGAAATATCTTCATATTTACAAAGTTTGATTAAAGTCAGCATAAAGTGTAAATGACATCTTGAATTCCAGTCGGCCTCTATTGGGTAAATCCACTGTGGTAGCGGTCACTGCCAAGGCAACATGTTACTGATGCCCAGATTAAGCCAAATGGCCTGCATGGCTGACAGAATTCTCCAAGGCTTTACTAAGAAAGAATTGTAGTCCTACATCATTACAGTATGACACCAGAATATTTACCAGCAGAAAATATTCATCACCAATAATCACATTTTAAAAATGCTGTTTAGTAGAATGTATTTTCAACATTGGGCCCATAAAGGTATATAAATTAGAATGTATAGAATGTACAACATTGGGCCCATAAAGGTATATAAAAGTTCTAGACTTTGGAGCTGGCAGACCTATTAGTACAAACACCAGCTGGCTCATGCTGCAGGTAGGGTTACATAGGTCGACACTTACAACTGGGTACATCTGTATTATCTGTATTCAGAGCCACATGCTCACGCCAAGATCCCAAACACCTGGGGGGAAACCCTGAGAAAAAAGCCACACTGCAGAACTGTGTTTGCCTTTGCCCAGCTGTCAATCAAACGCTCACATTTCAGGGAGAAAATGGATACGCCGATACACGTTTGGTCAGAGAAACGCCGTCTTCAAACTCTCTCTTCGTATTTTCCTCCGAGGCATGTTTATCCGTCTTAACCAAATTAAGTAACGTCTACAAACACACATCATTTCATCGTACAATTTCAATTTCGTAACGCTGTTGAAAATTGTACGATTGCCCGTTCGGCGACTGATGCGACGGCGAGCTGCGGAGCTGAAGACCGTGTGTTTGGCATGAGAAAGTAAACAAGTGGGGACTCGTTGGATTCCTGTAGTAAATTAAAAACATTTGGGTATAGAATGAACAGTGAGTCTGAGCTGCCAGTGACAGAATTATGCACTTGATGATTGCCAACTCTAAGTAAAAAAACTCTGTCTGAATTTAACCCCACGCCCTAAAGTAAGCTAACGGTTTCCATTATAAAATACATAAACACACCCAGAATAAATGTATTTATGTGTATTATTTACATGCAAGTGGGATTTAAGTATCAACAACAGCCCTTTTAGAGTTTTTTTTTTCAATATTTTAATTCAGTGATGTCTTCTGTTTCCAACACTAGGCCACAATTGGAATTGACTTTCTGTCGAAAACCATGTACTTGGAGGACCGGACGGTAAGAGCTGCAGTTACAAGTGTTTAATGTCACCAAAAACTATGTGTGATATGTGTCAACGTTGCACTTAGTTTTACTATCGGAGAAAAAACAGTAGTGCGGTACTGGTCACCCTCACTGTAATGCATTCAAACTCAACCAAGCAGTGTTCATGACGGCATTGACGAGGGGGAAACTGTCTGGAATGTCTCCCTGCAGCTGTAGGACCTTGACAGTGTCACAAGAAGGCATATAAACAACACCTGTGTGAATTCCGTGTTGGGTTTTTTTTTTGTGTGCAGTTTGTACATCTGTGTCTGTGTTTGTGGTGTCTGAGTGTGTGTGAAGGGAGCCTTCCAATTTTGGGGCTTCCTGACTTTCTGAATCATCTCAGCTCCCTCAACTCCCTATCTCCAAACCCCAGGTCAGGTTGCAGCTGTGGGACACGGCCGGACAAGAGCGCTTCCGGAGCCTCATTCCCAGTTACATACGGGACTCCACTGTGGCTGTAGTCGTCTATGATGTCACTAGTAAGTGCTTGAGACGAATGCTACATTATGCGGTTATATTTTTTTTTAAAACATGATTACGTGAGCCAGCCTTTCTTTTTGTTAGGAACGAGTTAGGAAATGTATAAACAATAAATAAATATATTTTTTGTCATTGAAATTATAGAAGCTGAGGTGCAATTAATACAAAAATAAACCCAATGTTTATCCAATGAAATTGGAATTGTCTTGTATGTAAATTGTATTGCAACTGCAGGTCAAGTATATTGATATTGATACACACACATGTACAGTATATGTGTGTACTGTAATCTGCCATCTAGCGCCGTAAAATTAGTCTTCATTAAATACCACTATAGCTGTTAAAACAACATGACATTTACCAGCAGTTTTTTCACTGTTGTCTGCTTTTTATTTTTTTTCCTTTCTCCAACAGATGTTAACTCATTCCAGCAGACCTCAAAATGGATTGAGGATGTCAGGTCTGAGCGGGGAAGTGATGTCATCATTATGCTTGTTGGCAATAAAACCGATTTGGCCGATAAGAGGTATGTTATTAACTGCTTAATAAATTAGCCTGGTGCCACATTTCACCTTATACTGTACATGGTAAACACAATTCCACATGACCAAAGATCAAAAAAAGAGAGTCATCCTATAGTGGCTTGAGAAAAAAACTATAACCTAGACTAAAGATTATACAATTACGGGAATAATCCTCCCAAGGAATTCATTTAATTGATAAATTTAAGGTACTTTTTAGTACTAGATATGGACAGTATCGATATCTAGATATCTATTCAGATATATACCTAGTTATCTAATATCTATCTGTGTGACTGTATATATCTTGATATTACGGCTGGGTATCGCAAGGTACCTCGCATTACAATACCATCACGATATTTTTCCCACAATAACGATAATATCACCATACAGCCAATCTGTGATATTGCATCCACGATACATTGTGATATCTGTGTCACTGAAGACATTCAAAATTTAATGACTGTGCAGAATCCATTCCGAATCAATTACAACACATTGTCAATCAATGTAAATGTAGTGGAGAGTGACAAGAAAGTGGTTGGTGTAGGGGAGGCAGGTGATCTGCCGTGGAGCCGCCTGAAGGGAGCAGCCGCAAGAAGAAGAAAAAAAGTTATTTTTCCCCTAAATCTATTAGAGCTATTAACTAAGTCTCTAATTAACCCCAATAAAATATAAATTCATATACATACAGAGAAAACGGGAGAAGTCGGAGGACTGTGCATGATTGTCACAAGATGCAACTTCTAGTGGATTTATTATGCAATTTCCCTGCCAACTGCCTGCCTGATAATGATGAATTATCCTGGGTTTTCTTTAAAGTTGCTTAGATCCAGGTATCCAAAAATAGCCACAGTGGCACGGTTGGTGATTTTCTCTTTAAATGCCTTTTTACCTCTCTCTGTTTTCTCTTCTCTTAGAGAAATTTTCCCTTTGGTGTCACGATGGTTTTCTTCTGCTTTGGTACATATGCAGGAGGTTTTGTTCGGGGGTCTGCGCGTGTGTGGGGGCGGGAGGGGGGGGGTTATTGTTTTTGTATACAGAGACACAAAATAACACAGCAGACTGGTTACATCATGGCTACTGCAATGACAGCCTGATATAAAGCAGTCATCTGAAGGAAACCGGTGGCTGTGAGGGAGTATGTGAGCATATGGAGCCCGGAGGACGGCATAGATCTCTCTGTTTGGATTGTTGGATATCTGACGTCGCCTCTGTTTCACAGCAGGAGCCAGGAGGTTTATTAGGATGAGGTGCTAATTAGCAGTTATAAATTTCTCCTAAGACAGAGTACTTTATCTTTCTATGTTGTTAGCTAATTAAGTCAGCTGTGGTCACTCTGGAGCATCAAGAGCTACAGCTACAAGTAATGGGCCTTGGTTTTATAGATTTCTGCAAATACAAACATTTGTTTATACATGTTGTAAACATATGGGAATATCATTAATAGCATGAATCTGCTGTCATGTTGAGAATATCTCCTCGTGTCTCCAGGCAAATCACTATCGAAGAAGGTGAGCAGAGGGCTAAAGAACTAAACGTCATGTTCATAGAGACGAGCGCCAAGACGGGACACAATGTCAAACAGGTGAGTCTGTGATTATAGCATTATAGGACACATTTGTTGCTATTTAAAACCACGTTATTGTAGCTTTGTGGATGTACACAACCCTCAATGATGAGATTCTTTTAAAATTGAGTGTGGTACTGTTGTGGGCCCAATTTCAAATTTGTCTGTAATAGGTGATGGGTGACTGTTGCTCTGTTGAACCAAAAGGGGGCGCTGTAAAAAAAAATTGTCAACCACTTCTTCGGTGTATTAAGAACATAGTTTGCCTTCAAGGCTGCTTTAAAAAAAAATCACATTTATAATTTAAAAAATGAACTTTATTCTTTAATAACTTCAACGTAAGTAATAACCTCGATACGACTCCCCCGTGCAGCTGTTCCAAATGAACCCTAGATTTGAATAGACTGAATAAAATTTTACATTCAACAGGGTAGTGATATGAAATCAAATAATTCGTAATCATTTTCTTCACCGTTACCTGGTACTGTATGTGGGGGGAAAAAAGTACGAGTAAAAATAATGCCGACTGTAGTAAATCTGCCTGCAGCTGGTACTGCCATCTCCGTCTCACACTGCAGCAGCGGCACAAAGAGAGGAGGCTATTGTTTACCTCAGTTCAGGACAGAAAAAGCTGTTTGTGTGAAACCTGCAAAACAGTTTTTGCCTCTAGAGTCTTGCAGCCAGTTCCATCCGCTGATTTATGGCAATGCAGGATTAAAGCCCTTAGGTGTGACTGAAAACAATTGCCTATTAAAACTAAGTTATGGTGAGATGACTTTGTTTTATCAACAAAGTCATCTTTTGTCATTTGAGGTTTTAGGTTGGGTCTCAGTTACTATGCAGTGGTGATGTGAGTGAGGTGCAGTGAGGTGATAGTGTCTCTATATCTAAGCATTCAGCTTAGGTATCGGATCGGACAGGCTGTAGTTGTTTTGTTCGATGTTTGATCCTGATGTTTTGACTAACATTGTACTGATCCTGAGTATCCCTAATTAAAACATGTAACAATGAACACCCGAAGACAATGCCTAATTATCATACTTTTCATTAATGTATCTACCACGCCTTGTCAATGTGCTGTGAAATGGTTGGAATAAGGACTTCCCTCTACCACGCCTTGTCATTGTGCTCTGAAATGGTTGGAATAAGGACTTCCCTCTTTCTCTGCAGCTTTTCCGACGTGTGGCTGCTGCTCTTCCAGGGATGGAAAATGTACAGGAAACCAGCAAAGAAGGAAGTATCCTTTTAATATGCAAAGAGTTGGACCCCAGAGGAAACAGATCAATAACAATAAGATGTTGATAAGAGACGAACAACGGCCTTTTTAATTCCTCCAATAAGACCTACAGCAGTATTTAAATGTGTCACATGTCTGTGTCATCTGGTGTTTCAGTGTAAGACGCTGCTCCCCAGCACTGGTGCCTACTGAGTGTAGGTGGACAGTAGGGCACTCACGCAGGCAGACAGTGTGTGTGTTAGCTGAGGATTCTGTTGTGCAGACAGGAGGAGGCTGAGCATGAAGCCATCCATCAGTCTGCTGTGCTGTTGGAAACAGCCTGACTTAACTACATGGCTTAACTAACTAACTAACATGGTCACTGTTGGTAAAATGCAAATTATACACATTTTTGGAACGTAGCAGTCACTATAGCAGGGTCGTTTCATAATCACTCAGCTGTTTCTAGAATGCGTTGCTTTCATCACAAGCAACCCCTCTGCTATTGGTCAGCCCTAGCTAAAGGATAAGTGACCACCTTTTTTTTAATCTCAGATCCCATTGTTAATTAATTAATCTTAATTTCTGATTCCGATATCAACCTATACCGATATACGTACAGTATAGCTCGGCAATGGTGGCTAAGTTAAGAGATGGGTTAAAGCAGTATTTCTCAATTATTTTACTGCCATGCTCCCCCTAGGGGACAGACGATTTTTCACCCACTCCCTCAATCCCCTGAATTGAAATACTATTTGAGCGCCTAGTAATATTTATTTATCAGTACAAACCACTGTATTGAGTTGCTGGCACCATCATTCTGCATACAATCCCCAGATTGTTGAACTAGATTGATAAAAATGAGCTGCAATGCTGCCATCTGGTGACTAACTTTCATATACAGCCGTTTTTCCCCAAAACTATTTTTCAGGGCACGTTTATTTTTCATCATTTGGCGAATCCGAGGCATTGTGTTATCTGGTGTTTTATTATCAGAGGAAAAACCGCTAACTAATTCTTACAGATATTACACAATTATGCTAATATTGGGCCGATCTCTCATTTATTGAATTCTTTCCTAATTTGATCAAATGTATGCAAAACGTATATTTTTTTCTAGTAAGAAACACCTATGATTATCGTTTTCGATCAATCAAGAAAATACTTGTCAATGTTTCAACACAATGTTTCATTAATACCACTGGAGCTTTGGTCCTGATCGTCCTTTTAAATGCAGTGCAATTCTCAGGCTTCACCGTCAAAATTCATTTTCTAGAGTCCAAAGTTTGGGTTTTTCACAAGTTTACTTTTTGCATATGAGAAACTCTGTAGTGTGAATTTTTACAGATGTCTGCTGTAGTATCTCTCATGCTGTAACATTATCCATCTCAAAGTTATCATCGGGTGACAGGTGAAAATGTCCAGCGCCCCATTTGCATTCTGCACGATACCCCAATGCACAGTTTTGGGAAAATGTCCAGACTAAAAATGTTGGAAAACAACATTAAAAACCTTTCGAAACGTCTTATGAGTCACTGACATGACTGCCCAAATGCAGTGCATGTTTAATGTTTTACCCCCGGAGGGGAACGGGCTCAGTGTTCTCTGTGAAACAATTACCGTCACAAAATGTTTTTATGCCAAGTCAGGTCACAGGAATGCACAGCAGAGACACTTTTACTTCATTAGTCCCTCTCCTTTCACTGTCTTCACTGGTTCCTGTAACGTCAGGAAACGGTCGTGACCTGAAACTGTTGTCACTGTTGTCTTTATTTATTACCATGAATATCTCTGTCGGCATCATTGCTGTTTAAAATTAGACTTTAAGTTGAAAAAGAAAAGTCCTGGCCAAATTAATTTTGAGGTTACTTGTACCTTTTTTTAGTTCTTGGGCACCCTCTAGTGGTAGGTTGATGTATGAGATTTCATGTGTATCTTGGTTGTCTTGGTTAAACACTGTGGGGGCCGTGCTTTCTGAACCTGGTTTATTAACACATCGACTAGAGCAGGGAGGAGCAAACTACAGCTCGGGGGCCGTTTATGGCCCATTAGGCTTTATAATCTGGCCCACCCTACTTGCCCAAATTTATATTAAATTATATCATCATTAGACTTCTGTCATTTTGCCTTTTCCCTGCAGTACTCGCGTTTGCCCAATAGATGGCAGAGCTGAGGTGTCTTACTCTATTTCCCTGTTTTGCTTTGCCCTTTGTTTGCACTTCCAAGCCTTCAGTAAAGATGAGTGTCAAGTGTTTAATATTGAGTGGACATAAGGAGTGTGTCTGATATGACAAGAAATAGTTATTGTGACACGCAACACCACGGAATGTTAACCCATCACCAAAGTGAGGTGATGGGTTCAAATCTGAGGTGCACGTGGACGGTGCCAAGCTCAGAGCACCTCTGTGTTAACTTGGACTTGAACCTCAAACCTGCCGGACCCAAGTCTACTTCCTTAACCACCAAGTCACCACTGGCCCTAAAATTGGGCTCGTCCGGGATTTGAACCCGAACCAACGAGCCACGGCTAACTAGCTAGTAACTAAATAATACGTTTTTTTAAAGGATTTTTATGAGCTTACTTTTCTTAAAAGAAAAAAAAGTTAATATGACGATCACTTTAAAACACGACACCAAACTAAATCGACTAAACTAAAAATAGACTTTTACTGGAGCAACAGTAACTCCTGCTGCTGCTGGTTCATTACTGACAGTCGCAGGCACAGCTCCACCACACACACCCTCGGTGCACAAAGCAGGGGAAATCTCTATGGTAACGGTGGGTGAACGATGAAGCCGTCTCTGACTGGAACTGTGCCTACGGTTCTGTCGTTTTCCATCGTGAAATTGCCTCACAGCGTGCCCTGATTAACGCTGCAGCAGACTGTACCTCACACAGGCGCTGACCTTGCGACTCCTCGTCCTTTTCCTCCAGACTCAGCAGCGGTCAGACGTGCAGTTTGTTGTTGTTTTTTCGTACGTCAAATTGATCCAGTGTGAGGCTGAGGTTTGGTGATGGATGACAGGTGATGATGGATTCGTAGCATTTTTCGCATGACACGTAGTGTATGTTGTGATGTCATCTCATTGGCAGGCTGGCTGTTTAGAAAGGATATGTAATTCCCTGTTCTTCAGATCGATGTGTTGTCTAACAGGAGGTCAACTTTTACCAGTACTTTAATGCACAGGTCAGTACTTATTGGTATCAGAAATTATAAGTTGTACACTCTTAATGTTGACCCTGTTGATCTTGGAAGCCCGCTCTGAGAAATTCAAATATAGGACGTGGCGCCATCTAGTGTCAAGAAATGGTACTACGATATCCAAATTAACTTTTTTTTTTTCTCTTTTATTTTATTTTTTTTCTGATTCTTTTGAACGCATGAACGTGACTAATAATAAGTGTTCGGACCTTTCCTTAACATTTTTCTTCCAGTGATTGACATCAAGCTGGACAAACTGCAGGACACCCACTCGACTGAGGGAGGATGTCCCTGTTAATGATGAGCATCTGTCATGGGAAAACTAAAAAAAGAAAATTTTACATTAGTCATTTCCATCTCACGCTTCTTACATTGCTGTCTATCGGTTCATGTGACGGTGAATTTGTACATAGAGAATGTAGCCTACTGACAGGTAATGATTTCAGATCTGACTTTTTCTGAAAAATACTGCCAAAATGTTTAGCGTAGTTTCTCACCTAATGTTCACATGTGTCAATTTGACCCCTCCCACCCCACGCCGTAACTCCTCAGAGCCCACGGTGAGATCCACGACTATTATTATACGAGATGAACAATTGTACAATAACCTGTTGTGTCTAATACGTATCTATCTATGAGCGTAGGTATCAATGTCAACAACTGAACAACACACACGTGTGTTTGGGTGTTTGAACTGGACCACATTCTGAGGGGTTTTTGTTAATGAACGGTTCCAGCAGTCACCGTACAGTTGTGTTCCCGCTCAGTGATAACAAACAAAGCGTGGTGTGTTTTTTTTTTTGTTTTTTTGCTTTGTGTTCTGCATCTTAACCGACTCCTTTATTGGACACTGAGCGTTTTATAGTGTGTCACACAGTGTCGATTTGTCATCAAGTGCTCCGATCATATTGTTGCCTTTTGGAATTGGATGATGTATAAGCTCAATGGACGCCTGGTTTAGGCAGAGGTGAGGTCAGGGGTTTTGCTTGTGTCGTCAAGGTATTGTCAATATTTATGAAAAAAAAAAGAAAAGAAAAAAATGTCTTGGTTTGATATTGAAGTGTGGACTGAACTCGGGAGTTCATTTGGAAATATCTCACTGATGTTTGTGTCACACATCCATTTTCGGGCTCTAGACGATTGTAACGTTTTTTTCAGGGTTCGCCGAAAAGTGAAGTCGCAGTGTTTGTTTCTGAGAAATTGGGGCGGAGTGAACCGATTTCGTTGTTTTCGTCTCAAGACTGATTTGCACATGTAGTTTGTACAGTACAGTAGGCTTCAGGTTCATATAAAGCTGTGAGAAGCTGTCCTCGTATCTGCACAGTCACTAATATAAATATAACACTTGTCTGTTTGTCATAGAAACTGTTCCCTTTTTAGATGAAGGTTCATTTGCTGCAGGTGATAACTGACTACTGAAAATGGCGTTATGCAATGTGTTTTTTTTTTTAAATGATTATTTTTTTGGTTTTATTACCAGCACTTTGTGGAAACGTTGAATGAAACATCACAGGTGATTTTAAATGTAACAAGTTTGAAATGAGTAAATATAACAGTAATAGTAATAATGAAGAGAAATTGAAATGGTATTGAAACTATTGTTGTTACTGGCTAAACAACAACAACAACAAAAAACTCCAGGGTTTTTGTAGATAAAACAATTGATGGAATTGATTGTAAGACTGTGTTTGTTCTTAAAGTTGAGAATAATGGACCAAGTGATGCAACACACAATCGTTTGTGTGCGCTCAGTTCAGGGAAGAGGAGCTGGTGGAGGTTCTGCGTCGTAGAATGGAGGCCGCGGCCGTTCCATTAGGGTGTAGGTTCTGTCTCGGCTCTGTGCAGCAGACCCTTTGTTTACACTTTACTGAGAGATACAGCATGTTTCTACAAATAGTTAATAAAGATGTCTGAAAACCAAAACCCGTCCTCACTTCATTTGTCGTCCAACACCAAGACGGCGTCGGACAAATCCGCTCCAGATTGATGGTGTGAAATCACTGCACTGGTAAATGCAAGGAATTGTAGTCACAGAAAACCTGCAATTATGTCAGTTATTGTTGTTATTATGCATGAGGATGGACAGGTGTCTAAACATGCAGTGGCATGTACAGCATGAGGTCTGGTCTGACAAGCTTCAAACTGCCAGTTTCTGTTTATGGCAGTTACAGTTGGCACAGTCACAGGTTTTGTATTTAATCCACAGGACTTGTGGGAGAATGACGTGAATCAGATACAGTGCTTTTGAAACTTCAAATTTCCCAAGACTAGAACTGACAAAACATCAAAAAAAAAAAAAAAAAGTTATTCAAAAAAATCGAAAGAAAAATTCTACGAGCCATCAAATTTAATTTTTTGATTCAAATATATCATTTCTATAAATAACAACAAATGCAATCCAATTAAAATCATAATTTTATTCTGTTTATAAATGACCTATAAATAGATTTCCAGAGAATTGCCCGAGAGGTGAAATTCAGTTCCTGTTTTTTTATTTGAACAGACTTTGGTTTATATCAGTCACGTGCACACACTCAGGAATGTTCGGACTTCTAGGGAAATCTATCGCGTATCGTTGTTTTGAAATTCAGCCATGAGCATGTTTGTGTCTATGTGGTATTATCTGATTTTGGCAACAGTCAGGGTGGTGATTGAGTCCTTACTCTGGTTTCAGTTACTCAACATCCCACACCCATTTATCATACCTGTTTAATTATTCTCATTCTCCTCCTGTGTATTTGACGAAGGTTTCTGCACCTGTATGAATGTCACACACTGTAATATTGTTTTGTTTTTTTTACATGTGTAGATGATTGAGCATTTCTGTCCTGTATCTCCTGTTCCTCCTTAATCTCGCTGATCCTCACCACCATGCCCACATTGTGGACCAGTTGGTAAAAAAAACAACACTGTTGCCAAATTGTTTTCCCAACACTGTTTTTATTTGTGCTCTACTTGCAACTGTAAGTCTGTTGATGTCTGGAGTCAGCCGTCGTGGTGATATTGAGACTGGGCTTTAGGGAGTGAGAACGCTACTGAAGGGCTTACTTCACATGTTCATGTAACATTCGATTAGATTAGTGGTTTTCCCCCCAGGGGACAGACCCCTCCAGGCATTACAGCAGCGGCACACTTCTGTCCAGCATGTCATGTTCCATTCGAAGCCTCTCACGCCTAACCTCCCTTCCGTCCCCTCCGGCACTTCAGCGTGTGTCCCCCAGGGGGGCCTGCCCCACTATTTGAGAAACACTAGATTGAACTACATTGATCCCACACTGAAATTGTTGATTTAAGCACATGCACTTGGACGAGCCATCGTAACATCAGGAGACTAGGTGCTTTTTATAGGTTGAATACCTATGGTATGAAACTACGGAGCCCCTAAAGGGACATGGGGAAAAAAAAATTAAAAAACGTGTCTCGTGCTCACGAGATACTTTCTCGTTAGCACTTAGTGCTCTTGTGAGCACGAGATACATTTCTCTTTTTTTTTTCCCATGTTCCTTTAGGGGCTCCGTATGGAACACATTTTTTATACTCTAGATTTTTTTTTAAATTTAATTTCTAAATTACAATACGGACTGCTACCGTAGAGACCCATAACGGAGGGAGAAGCTGGAGGTGATCCTAATCCTACTGCAACAGATTGGCCATCTGAAAACATGATGAGTGATTGTGTACTCTGTAATTTCACAACCAACTGGAAAAGAGAAATCGCAGAGGCAGAGATTCTAGATGGAGAGGCTGAGTCAGAGATGTGGCAAAACAAAAGCAAAACTGTGAAGTTTGGTAGATCCACCCCCAGAGTCACGCTCTGCCATAGTAGACACTGCTACGAACCAACCATGTGGAACGTTTGATGCCGTTCGGCATGACTGAGAAGCTGTCATTTGGTTATAAAAAAATGTACTGTTGCAGCCAATAACTGTGACCTCAATAGCATTGAGGCACCAAACACGACGGCAACAACAGGACCTGAGATTTAGATCAACCCAACACCTGTTTTTCCAAAGCCCTTTTCCCATAAAGGTACCACAGGAGAATCCGAAGATTTTCCATGAAAGTGATTGTCTGCTGTGGAATATTTGCCAGATGCTCATAGAATGGAGATGATAATCCACTTTCATGGTTCACTGAGTCTTTTGTCACAATCCGCCCACCCCTCCACCCCTCCCCAAAGGCTGGAAAAATATTTATTTATATATTTAATGATTATTTTATCTTTTTTTTTTATTTCTCATTGAGGCACATTTAAAGGCCAATTGAAAAACAATGAGACAACAGGGAAAAAAAAACGTTTTAGAAGACAAGCGATTCTTTCATACTTTAATAAATACTGACAGCAGTTGATTTCCTACAAAATACTTTTAATCAATTTATTATCTACACGCCAACATATGAAAAAAACAACAACAATAAGTTATTAGCGTTAGCCGTGGTGTCTGTAAAAAGGGAAAATGTTCTTTGGAAGCCATCTGTCACGAGGGTCTCTGGGTGTGAGCCCCCATGGGACAGTTGAAGCAAATCCCACAGCACCAGCTGGAAGAATTAAGCCCAGAATAAATAATGAGGGCACAGGGCAACTTTGGCCGGGTACAAAAAAAAAAAAAAAAAAAAAGTCCTGACGGGGATACAGATGAGCTCTTCATCCCTCTGATAGTCCGAACTTTCCTTCCACTGCCGGAGCCCAGTCAGATCTCTGAGTTAAGATGTGAGACCCTGGGAACCACCGTGTGTCACCAGCTCCATCTGGTTTGTTTACAGCGTCTCCTCAGCTGAGAGCCTGCGCCAGGATTTCATTTCCCTTGAAAATAAAGACATAAACAAATCAGTGACAAGGCTTTCTCTGCCGAAGAGAAAGGTTTCCCCCAGAGTCGGGACTTACACGTTGCTGCCAGGTATGATCCGCTCTCTCTGCTGCTTCGTCAGACACAACTTCCTGATGAATGCTGGTAATTTCAGCTTAGTTCTGGATGTCAAGGAAACACTGGGGGAAAAAAAAAAGAATCTGTGTTTGAATCCGAAGGTGCTAATGAGGTGCTTTCGTTTTTATCACTTAACACGGAAATGCTAAATGCTTGGAATGGCTAGTAGGAATTTCTCAGAAACCACGACACCATGATGAGTCATTGGTGGTTGGAGTGCAAACGTGTGCCGAGCAACTTCCAGGGAAACTGCCTGGCAGAGAGTCAAGTCACTTGACATTTACACATTTAGAAAAAAAATGAAGGACTGTATATATACAGTCCTTCATTTTTTTTCTAAATGTGTAAATGTCAAGTGACTTGACATTTACACATTTAGAAAAAAAAATGAAGGACTGTATATATACAGTCCTTCATTTTTTTTCTAAATGTGTAAATGTCAAGTGACTTGACATTTACACATTTAGAAAAAAAAATGAAGGACTATATATATACAGTTAATGTTTACACTGAGTTTAAATTACCAAGAAAACAAAGAGTCAAAGGTCAGTGTTTTGCAGGCGTTTGTGTGTGTACTAAACGGACTGAAGATACCTGGAAATCAATGGAAAGGTGAAGGGACCTGTGTATGCAGGTCGCCTGTTTGTAACAGTCCAGGTATACTTGAGGATGTTTATCCTTCGAATGAATAATATTTCCGTTTTAAAAGTCAAAACAACTGAGGCTGAGCTCCAGGTATGTGTTCCGTGTTGTGAAATGTTTGAAATTCTCTATGGACATTGGTGCAGAAAGACAGGCATTTATGAAGATATTGAAAATCAAGCTATCAAAAAACCTGCCCTAGATGGGGTTTTTTTCTTATCCCTGAAGACTGTCCCACCTCAAACCCAATCCTGAACTACCAGTTAAAGGTGAAGGTCCTAATATAAACACTGTGATTCCTACCATTCTGCTTGGAGCGGGGGTTCTTGTTTAGCCTCTATCCTCTCCACTTTTGCTTTCTGCTCTTCCTGCTCTTCCTGCTCCTTCTCCTCCTCCTCGTCCACGCCGTCGGGTATCTCGTTCCACAGCCTACTGTCCACCCAAAGAGCCTCATGCAGGCTCAGGCCGTTGCCTATGCAGGTGACGCGGCGGCACAGGGGACAGCCTACAGTGAGCATCCCGCTCCTGTCTTGTGACATGGTCTCCAGACAGGGTTCACAGAAGGTGTGTCTGCAGTGGAGCACTCGAGGGATCCTGTCCATCCTGGAGTAGGACATGAAGCAGACGCTGCACTCGCCGTCCTCGATCAGAACCATGATGGATCTGGAAGTGGAGTAAAAGTCAGTCATGTCCATTCCAATGAAAGTACATGGTGAAAACTGCTTTCTTAGGCTCAGCATGAGCTGTATGTACTCTGTATGGCAAAGTTATGGCACAGCTACGTGTTCTGTGTTGGTCCAAACAGAACCAAACAGTAAAATTATACATATTAAATAAAATATCTTCAATTTAACATTTCTTCAAAGTAAAGTTAACATGCAGTGCGTTCCAGCTTTGGTATTTACTATTTACTACAAACGTTTTCATTGCGATACCTTTAATAAAAGTATTTAAAAAAACATTATATTTAGCAAATATTTTCATATATTTTGAAAAAAAGATTGAAACTATAAATTACACAAATAATTCATAAACCACGAGTGATAACCATCACTCAATACCCCACAAAACAGAAACCGTTCAGAACACTAATTAATGTTGTAAACACTTTCGATGACAGTTGGTTTTCTAAATAACTGTACTTACAACGTTCTTCTGTAGAAAAAGTCGCCGCTGCTTCGCCTCCTGCGCAAGAAATTTGTGAATGATGTGCGGCAGAACAGCAAAGGAAGAGTCGGTCTTTTCTTCCGTTGGATGGGAGTGTCTGAAGTGGCTTTTCAGGGGCGGAACCAAAACGTCTCACTGTCTACGTCCCGGCGTCTGTCTCTCCTTTCATGTCCCAAACCCTCGCAGCCGACAGCTGTGGAAGCAGAAAGGCTTTGTTCAGTGGGCGCGTGGCAGGTGGTTAAACGGAAGTGTCACCGAAACTTCAGAGGACGGTGGTGCAGGGGTGATTGTAACGATTGTTTCTTTGGTAGCAATATTAGTAACGAGGTACAGTTGGCGCGCAATTGTGAAGATGCATGCATTTCACAATTTAAAAAAAAAAAAAAAGAAAATTGGGCTCGTCCGGGATTTGAACCCGGGACCTCTCGCACCCAAAGCGAGAATCATACCCCTAGACCAACGAGCCACACGTACGGTTAAACACTTTATCTCATATATACAATACTAATAGACCACGTATAAAATTGTGTTTATTAAAATTTCTTCAATATGAAACACCAGAGATCTTATTTTTACAATACACCTTAATCATATATCTCAATACAGGTTTTTCTGTTATCGTTCTGAGCTGTACATTAGCCCTAAACGCGATCGTATATTGTAATACTATACTGTGGTTTACCAATGACTTCTTTGAAAGAGCTTTTCTAAAGGTACACTCATCGTAGTGTATAGAATCGAATATATTCGGACAAAAAAATGGGCTCGTCCGGGATTTGAACCCGGGACCTCTCGCACCCGAAGCGAGAATCATACCCCTAGACCAACGAGCCACGGCGTACATATAGGTACCATGTGACTATATAAATCGTGAAGCGGCCTGTCGTGACGGTTAATACAACAAACATTTTTTAAACTATAGAATATCTACAGTAGCGTTAAAAATGAACATGTCATTTTTTAAATATATTTAAATCAAAAGAAGAGCTACACGTAACTATCGACGTGAACTAAATACTTGTGGAACACACGCAAACAACTACGCCGTAAATACATCTGTAAATATTAATTTTAAATGAATTAAGTCCAACTAATGACTCATTTACACAGCGTGAATTTATGTCCCTCACTATGATGTCAAGTATTATTTTTTAATTAAGGTTTAATAAAGAAATCGTGTCTCTCTTGGAGGTTGTGACTCTGGAGGGACGCACGACGTAATTACATCACAATTTAGAGGCGGAGTTAGCGCCTTTCACCGGGAAGTTCGTTCCTTCAGCTCGAGTTGTAAACAGTAAAAAAGACTAAAACATATCCGTCTCCGCTTGTCGTTCTAACTAACATTAATGCACGCTTTGTAATATTCGTATTAGAGTAAAAAAGACTAAAACATATCTGTCTCCGCTTGTCGTTCTAACTAAAATTAATGCACGCTTTGTAATATTCGTATACGAGTTTCGACCAACGCTGTATGCTTTTATTTGAACTCACGGTGTGTTTTTTGCTGGCGTTGAATGTGGTCTGTGCTTCTGGTAGTATGGAATAGCTACTTTAGCCGTTAGCTGCTATTGGCAAAACGTCACCAAAAAAACAACGTTAATTAAAACTGCGGTCCTGAGTAGCACTTTTAAACAGATGGAGGCGTCTCTGGGATCTCTGCAGAATCCTGATCTAAGGTAAGGGACATTAAAGCCACATTCTAGACTAACTGTGTTTTTAACAACAGACTGTGTTACGTAAAGGAACAATGCCTACATTATATTTTATATTTTCTTTTAAAGGAAAAATGCCAACATTTTATATATATCTGTTTCCCAGCGCTGTACTTTCGTCATGCGAACCGGAGCTGCGGGAGCTGATGCGACAAATTGACATAATGGTCAACCATCAAAAGAAGAGCTGGGAGGCTGAGAACCATGACCTGAGGGTCAGGCTGAAAAGCGGACAAGATGACCTGCAGGCCACGAGTAATATAATCAAAAGAAGGGATCTGGAGGTGAATCATAAAACCATACAACCATAAAAGTTTTAGCAGTTAAACATTTGCTAACTGCTTTTTTAAAATGCCAGTCGTCTGGTGTTAAGTTTTTATGATTGAATCACTCATTGTTTACAGATCGGATTACTCCACAAGCAGCTGGAAAATGTCCAGACGGACCAACAACAGTTGATTTCCAAGTACGAGCAACAACTGCAGAAAGTCCGTGAAGAGGTGTTGATTCGTGTTTTAATTCTTATTAAAACAGGTAGAAAAAGCAAGCTAACAACGCAAACATTTGCTGAAGCTACTCAGCATTAACACGTCCTCAGTGCCTGTGCCGTTTCTCAAGGTTATCCATTGTTATTAGGTACAGTGCCGTTTTTCAAGGTTATCCATTGTTATTAGGTACATCTTGAATTCAGATCTGTTCGATTAAATCCCTCAGAGCCAATAATTTCTTTTGTAGAATAAAACATTATTTGTAAAGTTTTCTTTGATAATAGTTGTTAAAATCTAGGGGCATGTGAAGATGACCTCCAGATTTACAAAGTCTAAGTTAGTGATAGGTTGAACGTGTATCTTTCCTGTCATCAAAACAATGTTTTGAATCCTCTTAGAGCCAATACAATGTCTGTTAATCACGTAACATATCACTGTGTACCGGCAGCTTAATAGGTTAAAAAGAAGTTACCAGAAGCTTGAGCGCAAACATGTCAAGGAGTCCAGCAGAGGTTTGAAGGGGACAGACGTTTCCGAGGCAACACATCTGCATAAAAAGACTGAGGTACGGCAGTTATTTCCAGTTACAGCGTATCTTTTTTTGCCACCAGTATTTACTGACCGACAAATTTCTCTGTGTTTCTCGACAGGAGTACCGTCAGCATCTGACAGAGTGTGAGCAGCAACACGTCTGGTACCAGAATCAGATGACAGCGCTGGAGGCCCAAAACAAGAGCCTGACCAATGAGCTCGCATGTGTGAAAGTAAACAGTAGTAACTATGTAGTCAAAAAATAATCAGAGTTTAGTAAAAGTTTGAGCCAAATTTTTATGTGTGTTTTTTTTTTGTGATGCATATTCCAGTCTCAGATGTCGATATTGCAAATGGAGAATGAACACAGAGAGTGCTGCTCAGAGGTGCAGAGTCTGCGTACCAGGCTGGAGAGGACTCAAGGAGATCTGCACTTGAAAGAGCTTGAACTTGAGAAGCTGGAAATGCTTCAGATGAGGAGAGGACAGTATCAGGGAGATCAGCAGGTTAGTAGAATATTACAAGCATTTAAAAGTAGCGTTAGCTTAATTGGGTAGTAAATTGGTGTATGTTTATGCCCGAAGTATTAAACTGTCTTTCTGTAATTTTGACCAATAACAAATTATTCATGTGAAAATTTCTTCTAAGATCTATTGGTCTGCTTATGAGCATGTGTCAAATGTAAGGCTCGGGGGCCAAATGTGGCCCGCCAAGTCATTTTCTTATGGCCCACGAGAGCTTATAAACACATTTAATAAAATCCATGCAGCAGAGTTTCTTAACCTAATCAAATTGAAAAAGAAAATTATAACACAGCAATGGACAATATTTGTAACTTGAATAAATAATAATAAATTGCAGAAACCTTTATTAATATGTTATGTTGTAGTTACATCTACGTATACAGTCTTCCATTTACAACCAGCTCTTCAAGGGGAACTGTAGTGCTGTTTTGGCCCCCTGGTGGAAATGAGTTTGACACCCCTGTAAGAGTATTGATATTGAAACTTGATTGTTTATAGCTTTTAGAGTCTTGAGTTATTAAATATGAAGTTTTTCTTAATGGCTTTGAATTAAAACTTAAATGTAAAAATCTGAAAGTAAATGTATATTTAATATTCATTTGTAGTTCTTAAAATTACTATCTAAGTAATTAAAAAAATCTGAAAATGTTGTTTTTGAAAACATGGCAGTTATACAATTTCATACAACACTGTTTTGTATGTGTTTATAATTTGATATTTTTTCAGGGATTGACAGAGAAACCGGAAGAGCTTTACAGTATGCCTGACACCCGGGACACACCAACGCAAAAACATGAAATTGAACTCCAAAGACTTCAGAATGAAAACGCCAGACTAAACCAGTCACTTCGGGCTAAAGATCATGTCATTCGGTAGGAGAGTCTCAGTCATTGTGTAACACAGTAACAAACGCACAGGAGGCCATCCTTTACCACAGTGGTTCCCGCAACCCCAGTTAACGCATCACGAAATCCCTACACCTCGGGTAAAAAAAATCCAGCAACAAGCTTTCTTATCATACTCACTTGACCTGGACACATACACATTTTTATATATATATATTTGTGTATATGTATATGTATATATATTTATATATGTATATGTGTATATATATGTATATGTGTGTATATATGTAAAAAAATGCCACATGTTTGTTTAT